TTTAACATGTCAAAGAACGGTAGTTGAAAAAAGAAGCAATAGATGGAACACCCTTTATTAATTGCAGTATCTCCGGCAACATGGACTTGGAGCTATTTTTCCATAGGTGCGGAATGGATTAGCGACTAGTTGGTACACAAGTTGGCATACCGATTTTCAATGACATTGTATCTACTTTTCACGGAATACCCTTGCAAGTTTGGAAAGCAACTCGATTGCCTGGAGAACAGCTGCAACAACTAAGATGTCCATAGAGTCGATCAGAAGAAGATTTTTTTTCTACAGATAGTACCAAGGCAATTCTTTTACTGAGCTTTTTTCCATGATACCAAAACACTCCAGATAGACGTCAAAAAGAGGCTTTCTTCACCCTGGCAATTTGGTTTTCTCAGCTGCATAGATAAACGTTTAAGTATCAGTACATTACGACCTGGAGTAAGAAAGTGTGAAAGGAGAACGAGGGTAGTAAGTCAATCTGGTTTGCTCCAAATTTCAAATAACTATTAAAAATCCTACCGCGGTGAAATTCCCAGTGGCTGCAGTAAATATCTCCATAACTTAGCAAACATCGCATAATGCAATATACAAAAGATTATAGCACGGTTGAGCGGCAGCACGGCAGCGAGGGCGAATTCCTGAAGTAATGCCGCCCGTTCGCATGTAATTTACGTTGATGGCCTGGCCGGATTCCAAACTCCTGAAGGGGCCACCGCCACCACCACCATCGCCAAGCAGTGTCAGATCTAGGGGGCAGAAGGAGGCAAGTATCCCAGGGGAGCATGATTAAGAGGTTACAAAAGTAGTATTTTATTGAAAAAAAAATGGCGTCAAGTAAGTTGACTTTGTACTTCCCACGCAACCCTGTCAACCTTTTCTAAAGCAAAAAGTTAGCTTCGACCATTTATAACAAAAAATTAAATGACTCTCCCCTCCCCCTGAGAGAAATTCCTGCAAGCGCACAAGATCGTTGCTACGACTCATCCCGCGTGGATGACGATATTGAGTTTTACAAAATATAGCCCGAAGGCAAACTGCCGACTGCGAGGCACGACCATCAACCGTCCACGTCGCACGTATTAACAAGTAAGTGTTGGAGATATTTGGATATGTCTGATAGGTGCTTAAAATTACTGGGGCTGGAGGTGTATAAATATACCAACATCAAGAATTGCAACCCCTAAATCCCAATTTTTAACAATAGGTTTTTCCGAAAATGATCAGAAGTCTCTGAAACGTGAAAAAACAGAGTTTGGACAATTTTTGTTTTCTCCGTTTTTGACCTTTTCATCCGCTGCCCCTGAATCGATTTTCAAAAACTAATGGGTAATTTTTTTACTAGTATCTTTTTGGCAACACTGTTTTTGACAGATGACGCGTGAATCGTGTCTTGTGTCATTGTCAAACTTGTTCAGTTTGGTCTATAATTTAACCATGAATCGACTTACGAACGAACAACGCTTGCAAATTATTGAATTTTACTATCAAAATTCATGCTCGGTTAAGAGAGTGCATCGAGCACTGCTTCCAATTTATGGGCAATTTGGTCGGCCTACTGAGGGAGCTATTTCGAACCCAGTTTACATTATTGGACATTAAACCACCAACACGCAGACGTAGAGTGAGGACTGAAGAAAATATTGCGGCTGTATTCGCCAGTGTTAGTGATGACCGTGAAATGTCGATTCGCCGCCATTCGCAGCAATTGGGCCTCTGTTACTCCACTACGTGGAAAATTTTGCGACAGGATTTGGGTGTAAAACCTTATAAGATACAGATGGTGCAAGAATTGAAGCCACACGACCTCCCACAACGTTTCCAATTTGGTGAATGGGCGCTGGCAAAGTTGGAGGAAGATCCACATTTTTATCGAAAAATTGTGTTCAGCGACGAAGCTCATTTCTGGTTGAATGGGTACGTTAACAAGCAAAATTGCCGCATCTGGAGTGAAGACCAGACAGAAGCATTGCAAGAGCTACCAACGCATCCCGAAAAAATCACTGTTTGGTATGGATTATGGGCCGGTGGCATCATCGGGCCGTACTTCTTCAAAGACGAAAATGGCCGAAACGTAACTGTGAATGGCGAGCGCTACCGTGCGATGATAACAAACTTTTTTTTGCCCAAAATGGAAGAGCTGGACTTGGCTGACATGTGGTTTCAACAAGACGGTGCCACATGCCACACCGCACACGAAACAATAGCCCTATTGAGAGGCGAGTTCAGTGAACAGTTTATCTCACGTTTGGGGCCTGTCAATTGGCCGCCTAGATCGTGTGATTTAACGCCGTTGGACTATTTCTCGTGAGGTCATGTTAAGGCTAATGTCTACAGGGATAAACCAGCAGCGATTGACGCACTGGAAGCCAATATTGAAGCATTTATTCGTGAGATACCGGCCGATATGTTGGAGAGAGTGTGCCAAAATTGGACCTGGCGCATGGGCCACCTAAAGCGGAGCCGCGGGCAACATTTACATGAAATAATCTTTAAACATTAAATTATATCGACCGTTCTATCGACTCAAATAAAGATTTAATCGTTTTTACAAATTTTTTGTGTTTTTTTTTTTTGAAAATCACATCCTATACCTCTTAAAAAATCACCCATTATAAAGCTTTTTCGTACCTGACTTAATGTATGTGACATACAAATTCGAGTGGTACTTTTCAAGTTATAGACAAATCACTGATTATCGGTCAGGCCGACGAAAATGGGTGACGTTGTTTCTCGTCATATAACATGCGCAAAAAAATATCTCATTACCATTATATTTACAATACTTCCTCGCCATTAGACGTGAGATGCAAGCGCGTCACCAGCCAATGGCCCAAGGAAGGGCAACTTCATACGGTGGATGAGAAATGTATAAATTGTAATAAGAACAGTGTAAAGTCCAATGTATGAATCCCCACAGACTCTTGGCTGTACGGTAAATGAAACTTGAGTTAAATTATGTTGTTATATTTATTATAACTTAGAGTTTGAATACTAGGAATGGAAATGGTGAATTCGTTCGAGTTTCGGCGTGCGAGGATGATCAATCAAGCACGTTAAGTGCGTGTAATTATGAATTTTATTGATTTTCATTTTTCAGGGTCTATAGGGAGGCAAATTATTAAATCTATAGCAGCATACCTTCATAATAGAAAACAACACGTACACAGTGGCTTAGCAAACGCGACTACTCTGCACGATAGCTCAAACCTGCTTGTATCGCTATATACGCCACACACCTATTCCTTAAATTCAAATTATAATTACACTGATAGATCCAAAATTGCAGATATTTACAAATTTTAAAGAATACCTATTCTTGCTCCTCGGACAAAACCATGATGCCATTTGAAACTGCTGTGGTATACTATGCGGAAATGTCCCAACTTTGTAGGGTGTATGTAGTCGCAAAAGTGAAAAAATATAATTTTAAACAAGCGGCTTATTAATATTCAAATATTCTTTTCTAACTGGGCTTAACTACTTAGGCCTGATTTTACTATTGGCCGGCGGGGATCAAAATTTGCTTCTAGGTAGCAAATTCTAGCAATCAGAATGGGTTTACGAAGTAGTGGAGCTAATGAATATAGTTGACTTCTTATAAAATACATCTCAACCTAGCTAAAAATTATACAATTTGTGTAGGAAGGGTCACTAATCCTCATATTAAATCAAGGAATTATAAGCCATCCGGTTCAGCTTATAGAGACATATTTCTTCATTTGACCCGGGAGCAAAATTTGCTACTAGATTTGCAAATTTTACCAATCGGAAACAAGTATCATATGCACATTGTGAATAATTAATTCTGTAAAGACAAATTACAAAATATCTACTTACACAATACGGATTATTTAACAAAGATCAGGTAAATATCCAATTCACTTGATTACAATGCTAATAATTTTTAATTCCAAGTTTTCTAGCTTATAACAAGCAAGATCCCACCAAGTCGCACTACCGGCTATGCAACCATAAATAATACATACAAACTTGATCTGTTCAAACTTTCAACTTTTCTGGAAATTACTGTATTTATCACTAGGATTTTTAGGATTTAACTAAAGATAACTCATATTACTGCATGAAAATGGTGCTACAAAATTAACTCATTAACTGTCTTGTCTTATTATGTATCTCAGAAAATTTTCAACAATATCCACTGCTGCGTTAGCATGCTAGGATCACGCTAGTTCAGATATTAAGCACCACAAAGGCTTTATTTAACTTTCACTTATTATTTCGGATATACTGTTATGCATTTTCTGGTAAACAATAAATTAATGTAGATACCCACAATTTCAGGTATTTTTGCAATAACAAACTAACCGGAAAATTTGCCGTAAAAGGTCTCGTTCCAAAGACTTACATAATTCATAATTACTTATTACTTATAACATATGCAAAAAACTTTTTCCCTACTTTCACGTTTGATAGTGAAGCGACCCAGCAGTTTTTCTCATAATTCTCGATGAGGAGCCTTTCCGTTTACCTTCAAGAACATAATTATGTTGTAAAACAAGTTATTGCGATTTTCTCTCAAATCTTCGATATCCTGGTCGACTGCAAACATTTTAGATCCGGCACTGTCGCCACATCCCTTACTTGCATCCCTACTTCAGAAGCTCTTGTTAGCAGCGCCCAGGAAATCATACACTAAATTTGCTTTGGATGAACGTAAATAAGCTGAAATATGGCGGAACAGAAGCACGCTACTAAGGTCGTGTATACAGTGTACGATGGCTGAATCAATGTATTAGAACAAGGCAATTTTCTGATTGAAGCTGTAGAGTCATGTAGATCACCTTAGTATCTCATTCGCATTGGTAAAAGCTCATCTTTAAATCACGAACACAATTTCACGGGGATGCAAATGTTAAATGGCGAGTGTAGTAATACTTACCACACAAAAAATAAAATTCAGAATAATCTATAACCCTGATGTGCGACAGTTTGTAAAGTTTTTGGACGGTCAAAAGTATCATGACTATAAATTATTCAGAAAGATGGATAATTATGATCAATTTTCTGCGTTGATATCCCATACATCCGCCACTCAAATTGATGAAGTGCTAGGGTCAGAAAATGTTCTGATTCTTCAGTTAAACTCAGATGTCTAATTTTTCGTTTTTGTTGAATAATGTCAGTAAAACTTTGAAGATTGCAAAATAAATATATATATGCTTTATTTGCCATTCACCGAGGCCAACAAGTGCGATGAATGAATGATGGTGAGAAAGTGAATACCCGACTATATCTCATAAAAAACTCATGTAAGGGTTTAGAGATATGTATACTTTTGTTCTACAGTACACAGAGTCTAGGGGTCACGAAGATTCAAAAAAATAATTACATACCCAGAAACAAATACTGTCAAGTATGGATCTGTCCATTTTCCATCATAAAATCGACTATTATAGAGGCACAAATGCTAATTGAAAATTTTTATAGGTATGTTTAAAAAATAAGACCTTGTAAAACTCAGATTCTATATATACTAAGTGACATATAAATCCGAACACCCAGTTTAAATGGTTTTATTTTAATAAAAGTTAGTGAATGTATTTATCTTACTCTGTCGTGTGACAGCAGAACCTAGTAAGTCACTTTTTATCAGGTTTGAGAAATAACATATTTTCAATAAACATTCGGCTTTCGAAAAGTTTAAGTTTTATGAATATTAAAAAAATTGTCTGAAGGGTTATGTAACTTGCTAAATTCGATAGCATTAATTTTATTCATGTGATAGTTTTGTTTATGGTAGAAAAGTGACTTACGTTTTTTTTTCATGGTTTCTTTTTCGATATTAAATTAAGATACTTTAGCAGAAAATGGTAAGTCAACTTACTGATTTTTACAAAATTTCGACTAGAGAAAATAAAAAAAAAGATATTGTAAGTGTACTTACTAAGGTTTTATTTGATATAATTTATGTGCGAAGGCGAACACAAAAAGTAACATATCTACTTACTAACTGGAAAATAAACATTTGAATGAAAAACGGTGGAACATAAAACAGCAAGTCTACATACAAGAAGAACAAGAACTTAAGCGCTAAGCCTCTGATACCACACATAAGTCTTTGGAATTATCATTAGATGGCAAAAACTGCCAAAATAGTTTCTTTCTTTCATCTTTGAAGGATGGTACCAATTTTTTTAAAATTGTTTCTCTTTTTTCTGAGTTCAATCCCAGTGGCTCGACAAAAGGATGTATAGGGAATTTGAGATCAACTTTTTTTTTCAAAAACTCGACTTCCTGAAAGACAGTTTCATTATGGCATTCTTTATAAAACAAGTGTCTGCATCCTTTGCGAAACTGAGCGAGCTTAATTTTTTTCAAAATTATTTATAGGCAAACATTTAGTTTTTTTTTGAGGACTGCTCAATTATTTTCAGAAGCTGTTCAAAATCATAAATGTTTGGGTGTTTTTTCATTTCTGTGCTGATTCGGCCATGAACCGAATCCGCAGCCATAAATGAATGGCCTGGTTCAAAATATTTTAGGGTGATCTCTTCTGGACCCCATTCACAATTTACAAAAGTCGCAAAAGCAGAATATAGTGTCCAATTCTTGTTCTGAGCAGAACAGTTGTCTACCCAGAATGTAAATTTTTTGGTAACATTGTCTGAATTTTTTATTACGTTGTAGTATGCCGATGCAACATCCGTCGCGGACCTGCCTCTTATAGCCTCATGCCACGCAAATATTTCCGTCCTTATGAAGTGACGCAAACGTCTCATCGAATACGACCAACCTGCAACAACAAATATAGAAGTATATAAAAGTTTAATACAATTATATATAATTATAAACGAAGTACCTTGAAACAAAAAAGGATTCCTTGGTTGACATTTGGGCAAGAGTAAGACTTTCTGCATATCTACAGCATAGACCTTCTCATCTTGCATTACCTCTTGATTGGAGTCATTTTCATAGTGCTGTCTTGCTTCCGTATAACTTTTTTGTGGTTTTCGAATTGACAACAAATCTTGCAACTACTTGCGTCGCATTGGCGAATAATGTGAACTTTATGTTTTAGACACTGAGCGCATTCGTCTTGGGATGGCTTTTTAAACCCAATATTCTGTTTTTCAAAAATTCTTCTGTATAGATCATATGAAATTTTCTGTAGATTACAGAAGTCTTGCCACATGTATTTAATGGTCAAGTCAGGTGGCAAGAATCGTCTATTCGGGGTGTGCTTTAAATTATAGTGAGATACTACCGGATTGAATGAGTTTATATGCTTTATGACAATTTCCTGTGTTCTCATTTTTTGTTCTTCTAGCATGCCTCTAATAACTAACCCCCTTTCATCCACTGTTTGTGCAATTCCTTCTACACTTCGCTTTTTGGAATGTATATGGCAAGTTATCATACCATCTGTTTTAAGTCCTAAAGTATGCAAAAACATTGTTTTGCACACTTGTATTTTTTCAAATTTAGCTTCAGTTTCCACTGGAAGGGGTAGAAAATATTTCAGAGAAACATTCCTGGAAGAGCGCTGAGCCTCTTGCCGCCTTACTTTGATTTCAAATTGTTTGATATGAGCATCCAAAAAAAGTCTACGCTCGCCAAAGCTGAGTCTCCAGAATTTCGTTCTTATCAATTCTCTAAAGTTCTCATCATTGATTTTTGAGCTACATTTCTGCCTGCAATTATTATGGCATGATAGCAGTAGGGGGTGCTTTTCTTGCTTGTCTGGCCTTTCTTGGGAAACTCTGCAGTTTGCATTCACATTCTCGTTGACTTTTTTCAAAGGCTGCCTGTTTTTGAGGGGCGCAAGCGATACGTCATCAAAGTCCGAAAATTTATTTTTTTTTCCTTCTAGGGGATACTGACGGCTCATAATTTGGGTCTGCATCAGAATCGTCATAATCTGATATAGGTTCTTCATCATGTTGCTGACGCTCTTCGAGAGGTTCATTTCTGAAAGATAAAATAAATAGAGGTCAGCGGTTTGAATATATATTTCAAATACGAAAACCGTATTGCAAGAATTAGCTTTTTGTTTGTAGTAATTATAATCTTTTATTTTACTGAAAAAAAAAACATCAAACTGCAATGTTACTCCTGAGTTAATATTTCATTTGGCTTATATGTAATGTATGATGCTTGCACTCACCTCTCTGTAATGCATAAACTCGTTATGAATTTTCCTCTCGACATATTCTGGATATTAACTACAGTACTAACGTTAAACTAATTCGCGACTGTCCTCACCGATCTACACTCTATGCCAGTTGGAACATGACTGCGGAAACGCTGTAGCATGCATCCGTGCCTACACTCAATCGGCTTGAAATCATGGCATGAAAATTTAGCAAAAACTAGCAAGTGCGTTTACGACGGAGTCTCCCGCCAAATTTCCTACAAAAAAAAATCTTCAAAACGTAGCATGTAGACATGCCATCATTTGTTGATTTTTTAAATGCTGTTCTGATGACTTACTAGGAAACATGAGACAAAGATATACGATTTAGAGTGCGTCTGAGCGAGAAAAAAAAATTCAACTAGTAGAACTTTTTACGGGCTTTTCAAAAATGACGTAAAAATGTAAAACCTAGTAAGTCGACTTACTAGGTTCTGCTGTCACACGACAGAAACTGTAAATAACAAGTGAAAAATTTTTCAGCCTTATCAGTTGGACATTCCGGTTTTTGTACTGCTTTTTTTTTAATTCACTAACGCTCTAAAAATGAATATTTTAGCCGCAGTAAAGAATCAACGTTGGCGGATTTTGGTTCTTGACATCCTTTACGATCGGTTACGATGCCTAGAGTACGGAGAACTGTACGATTTCGTCAACTTAGTGAGTTTGATAGGGGCCGTATAGTGGGACTTCGGGAAGCTGGACCTTCTTTTCGGGTAATTGCAGTTAGAGTGCAAAGAAGTGTAGACACTGTGGTTAGGTGTTGTCAGGCATGGCTTCGAGAAGGCCGTACGCAAAGAGCAAGGGGCACTGGACGCCGCCGTAGAACAACAGACCGTGAAGATCGCCGCCTAAGATTATTGGCCTTAAGGGACCGTTTCTCCACTGCCAGGTCCATTGCAAATGAATGGTTTGCAGAACACGGAAGACCTATTGGCATGCGAAGTATTTACCGACGAATGAGAAGTTTTGACTTGTTTTCATACCGGCTACACTGGGTCCTCCCTTTAACTCGAGAACACCGACGTAATCGCCTTGAGTGGTGCAGACAACGGTCACTCTGGGATCAGGAATGGAACAGTATTGTCTTTAGTGACGAGTCTCGATTTTGTTTAGGCATGCACGTGGTCGTGCCAGGGTTAGAAGGCGACGTGGTGAAAGGAGGAATCCACAGTTTTTTGTTGAAAGACATGTTCATCACACTGTTGGAGTTATGGTTTGGGGTGCTATAGCTTATGGTCCAGGTCACCTTTAATCTTCATCAGAGGTAACATGAACGCGCAGCGTTATATCCACGAAGTTCTAGAACCCCATCTTTTACCCTATCTTGGCACCCTGGCAGATCCAACTTTCCAACAAGATAATGCCCCACCACATGTTGCAAGAGTCACAATAGACTTCTTTCAACATAACGATGTCACATTGTTACCATGGCCACCAAGATCTCCCGACTTATCCCCAATTGAGCACGTGTGGGATATGATGGGTAGGAGATTGCTCAATTTGCAACTTCCTCCTCAGACTCTAGAAGCACTTCGAGAGGAGTTGGTGGTTGCCTGGAATGAGATACCACAGGAGGACATTGACCACCTAATCAGAAGCATGCCTAGGCGCGTTGGAGAATGCGTAGCACATCGGGGTGCATCCACACATTATTAAAGGTCAAAGGGCTTTAAAGCAGTGCAATCATTTTGACATTTTTATCATTTACTTATTATGCTTCATTAAGTACTTATACAAAATTTTATTAAAATAAAACCATTTAAACTGGGTGTTCGGATTTATATGTCACTTAGTATATCTCTCGAAGAATTTTGACTTAGATTCTATATATCTTCTGAAGAATTTTGGACCTACCCCAACGTAACCACAAACTTCAGAAGCGTAGAGGAACAAAACTTGGTAATTAATTTATTAAAATGTCGATCGTAAAAAAACTCTTCTACTTCACCCAAAAATGTTCACATTGCTATGAGATATAAAAGCTCGATATGAAACTCGAATGGTCAACAGGTCAAAAGCATTCAATTAGCTGTGGTATACTGCCCTCTGACGAGAAATCTGTAGTGTATCACTGTTAGGGGAAGGAGCAATCTTGTACAACCCAATGCTTCCAAAATACAGTAACGAACAAGGCCAGAAGTACAAGAAGCGTCCTAGCGCTCATCCGGTTTTGATGGATGGCGGAGTTCTACCAAAGGGCTATTTATTTTGGATATTCGGAGTACAGATCACCGAGGACTTGATCTGCCGTGAACACATCTCGTCAATAGCGGCAGCTGCTGGGAAAAAGCTGAACTATTTTCATATTACAAACAAGTACTTTTCTCCACATGACCTCCTCACTCTGTTCAATGCCCAGATAAGACCTAGCCTCGGGTCTTTCTCTCATGTTTCGAGTGCTGTCGCCCTAACATCATCATCCATGCTTTATGCTGTTCGGAGGAGGGCTTTCCGACTGATCGATGACTCTTTGCTTTGCTCCTCAGAGCTCTCCTCCATGATGCGACCGCGCGATGTGCCGGACTTCGGCCTCCCATTCTAACCGTGTCGAACGTATAATAAGAACTAGCAGGTATGACCGCTCCATTGTCCTTGGGGTATCGAGATTGTGGAGCAATCCACCTGAGCAGGCTTCTCCCAGTTCTACGAACCTCAGGCTTTTCAAAAAGCGAATTAATAAAGTTTCATAGCTGTCGCGGTACCCTGGCATTTAGCTTTCTGAATGTGCGACAGCTTCGGTACAAAAAACAAAAGAAATGACTATCAGACAAACCGATAGTCAGACAGACATACAAACAGGCAGACATAGCGACATACAGTCAGATCGATGGAGATGAGTGGCATGTATGTTTGCCTCTAATGTTTATATGTTCTGTGATATCAAGGCTTACTGAAATTTAAAAAAAATGTCATCGTAATACCTTCGTCCTTTATATGTGGAGGTAAAAGTATTGTGCTGACCACATGAAAATATGACAATGATTGTTTTTTCAACGAAGTTCAGAATTTTTTCATATGGATTTCTATTGTTCCGTCTGGTCTGTGGTTTATGTCGATTTTACTCTTGAAATATAAATAGGACTCCTGGTACAATACCACTAGTTCTTTACACCTGCACCCAATCACGTGTCTGAGTCGCATGCTAATGAGCAATTTACCTTTATTCTACATAATTTGCCGTTACAGTTACGCCACTTTTTTCCATCAGATAAACATACTGTTATTGGGAATTTTTCCAAACAACTTTTCTGCCTAGGAACTACATACACCTGAAATGATAATGTCAACCATATGATATAAATATAATTGTGGGTGCGGTATATTACATACTCTAACTGTACCGGATAATTATTATGAGGTGAGACATAATATGTTACGTAGTAATGCTTCAGCAATATATCACATCGTTTTATAGAGAGGCTGAGCTGACGGTGCTGAAAAATCAATTCAAGCAGGTAGCTGTGAATTATACTGCCGCACAGGGGTATAGCATACTGTAAAGTTGACAAAAATACAATTTCTTCTGCATTTATACGATTTTCAGTATAAATAGAGTCTTTGAGTCGCTGATTACAAATTCGGTTTTAGTTAATCTCTATGACGACATGTAAAGGTCACTTCACGGTCATATCGACGACATTTTCAAAAGAAGTCGAACAGCTGATTCCAACCACATGTCATTCGGACCTTTATGTAAGCTAACTCCGAATCAGATGTCAATTAGTCACCATGAGGGCATTTGAAAAGTCATTTCAAGTACAAATTCAAAAGTAAAGCATTGCAGTCCAGACGCGTGTCATGAGCTATC